ATCCGTTATTAAAACCAAAACAACTTTTATGAAGTTTAAATTCGCAGGTCTATGTTATTTACTTGCTAATTTGAAACAGTTGTATCCCGTTTTGTAAACAGTTTTCGTTTGATTTTTAAATTTTAGATTATAAACACACATAAAGAAATATTTTTAGGAGGGGTTGGGGGAGTTGTGGTTAGCGTGCGAGATCGTGGTTTCGAGGGTCCATGGTTCTCATCGATGTTGCAAAATCACGCTTCATACTTTTAGCCCCTGGATGCATCATAACAGTGACGGCCAAATCCTACTGATCGACCAGACACAAGTAGACTAACAGTTTGATACTGTTGTTTCTAAAATTTGCGTAAAGCCATACGAGACTTGAAGTCAGGCACTACTGAACAGCCAACTCTTGGGGTACTCTAATCGAATAAGACGATTTGACCGTTACTCTTATAATGCATTACCACCCCTAAAGTGCCGAGCGTATTTTGGCGGCCAACAAGATGTGAACCACGAATTCTCAGGTTCACCATTAAACCATTTCTGGTCTTGTAGAAAAACGAAACATTCTTCCGTTAAAAATAGTTAACTACGCTGATCCATTACTAGTTGTAACAAAAAATAAAGTAGTGCCTGTGTTAAAAATAGTTAACTACGCTGATCCATTACTAGTTGTGACAAAAATAAAGTAGTGCCTGTTTTTGTATTTTGTGTGCTAATTCCTTCTGTTTCAGGAACACTGATTAAATAATCTTAATGATCTGATGAAACTCTTAATTAACAGCAAATAATAAGTCATCAATATGCTAACAAGCACATTTCAATTCCACAACATTAAATGTTAGATATTTATTTTCATTATTAAACGCCCCCCAGTGGCACAACGGCACGTCTGCGGACTTACAACGCTAGAAATCGTGTTTCGATACCCATTGTGGGCAGAACACAGATAGCTCATTGTGTAGCTTTGAGCTTAACTTCAAACAAACAAACAACCATTATGTAACAACTGAAGATTTTATTTGGAGATTGGACGAATAATTGACGTGTACTGCAACGTCAGTAGCTTTTTACTTTAGATCTGTGAAAATACAATGGCTAAATAAAGTTTCGTTTTTTTCCTTTCTTAAAACGGTTTGTTGTGCTTTCAATGTGTTAAAAAGAATAATAGTGATCAAAAGGTTGAAAATAAAAACAGATATCAAATCAGTAGAACTGAGATTGTAAAAAATAATAATAGTGATCAAAAGGTTGAATATAACAACAGATATCAAATCAGTAGAACTGAGATTGTAAATAATAATAGTAATAGCGATCAATAGGTTGAACATAACAACAGATATCAAATCAGTAGAACTGAGATTGAAATTTTGGATCTATTTTCTTTTATCGTTTAGCAGAGGACTCGAACTCAGCTTTAGAGTTGTTTGTTTGTTATGAATTTTGCGCAAAGCTACACGAGGGCTATCTGCGCTAACCGTCCCTAATTTAGCAGTGTAAGACTAGAGGGAAGGCAGCTAGTCATCACCACTCATCGCCAACTCTTGGGCTACTCTTTTATCAACGAATAGTGGGATTGAGTGTACCTTATAACGCCCCCACGGCTGAAAGGACGAGCATGTTTGGTGGGATGGGGATTCGAACCCGCGACCCTCAGATTGCGAGTCTTACGCCCTAACCACCTGGCCATGCCGGGCCGACTCAGCTTTAGAGTTGAAAAACGTTCATTACAGACACGAATATAAATTCTATCAACGGTCCTCACGTGGAGAGTGCTGACATACTAGTAGCTATTGGCTACTGGAATCAAAGCATTTGCTACACTTGTTAGCTCAGCGGGAAACATATCACTGTACATTTACTAGATGTACTTGCCAAAAATCCCCGAAAGTGCTCTGTTTCAAGAGTAAATAAAACCAAAGTTAAGAGTAACATATATTTTTATTTGTTGCTTTTGTCATGTTGTGTTGTAGCTTGCAGAGTGCATATTTCTTCTCGTGATTCACGTCACGACAGTAAAAATTGCAACGTTAAGCGTCCCTTATTTGACGTCATTTTAGTGTCTACTGCCTGACTGACAGACAACGCACTACTGGAGAGTGGTGCGAGTGGTTAAAGCAGGTGACCCTTCCAGGCGGCCTTGGACCCCTTTATGGGAAAGTACAGAACCATTGGGCGATTTTTTTCATTGAAATTTGTTGAACCACACGAAGATCCACTCACCACGTTTCTCGTCTTCAGTATCTGCAATGAGACTTCAGGATTTGAAACTCATGAGGATCGATTTATAACCAATTTATAGCGTTTTTCTTTCGTTTTTTAAATTAAAACTAACTTAAGCTTTGCTTGATAACTTTGCATCATTTTTACCCAAAACAATACGGTCACTAGGTGCATGAGGTTTTGTTCGTTTGTTTCGGATATTTGCGGAAATCTACAGGAAGGCCATCTGTCCCTAATTTTGAACTAATAGACTAAAGAAAAGGCAGCTGCTCTAATTGACTAGTGGCACTTGTTATGTATTAGAATTTCAAATGGTTTGTAACCGAGTTAAATGATACTTTAAATTTAGTAGCTTTATTGTACTTTATATTTAGCAGTTAAGTAAAAGCTGATATATAATCAATTT